CGTTCTGGTGAATAGTTTGTTCGCCGGCGACCTTCGCCAAAGGCTCATATTAAAATACCCCAATAAATGAAAAGCAAAAACCAAATTTTTCCAATTCTTAATATTCTATTACACGTTTATAGTTATTAAATTTATTTCATTTAATTTTAATTTTGATATTCAATACAATCTCTGATAATTCCAAATAATCCGAAATAAAATATGCCTTGCACTTTAACTACATGAGAAATAATTTAAATATGAAAATGATAATATTTGATATTAATTTTGCAATTATTTAGTTCTTTAATTTTTCACATAAAAACTTTTTACTAAATACAAAGCTTGCTATTATATCCCGAAGTTTGGAATAAGCTTATATTGTAATTTTATTAGAAACTTAATTAGATTGGTATCAGTTTTAGGAGAAGTTAATTGAAACAAACTTTATCAATAATTTTCATAAACTCTTTGAAAGGCGTTAGGTTATAATTAGCCGAATTTATGATGTTTTCAACGTTGACATTTAATTTCATTTGAGTTCAATTTAATCAAATATATCGCTCAGTTAGTTAGCAAAAGCGCGTCATTGTGTCGCCAGCCTTCAGGTGATTTCACTTCAGCGCATAGTTGATCAAATTTAATTTCAAACTTTTAATAGCCTCCGAAAGCTTACTTAGGGCACGACAGAGCAAAGTTTGATTACACGTGCTACGGTTGTAAGGCATATTTATATACATACATATCACACCATGGCTAGCTGGCGCGCGAAAACAAAAAGCGCATCTTCTTACCACAAATCTATTTATTTGCACACAATATCATACACGCTTTTGGACTTTCGTATTCTACAAATACAATAGGGGTTGTCACGATCCGGTGCATACTCTCTAGCATGGAGGATAGATAGCATAAATAGCATGATTGTTGTTGTTTCATGTGTTCAAACAACAACAAAATTAGCCAATCATGCTATTTATGCTATCTATCCTCCATGCTATGCAGTATGCACCGGATCGAGAATACCCCTAATATTTGACATGCCTACCGATGCATCGCGACGTTGGCATTAGTTGTCAGGCCATGCCATTATGTTTGAGGTGGCACAACCGTTAAATTTCTCGTTGAAATTTCGCATTTATGGGAAAGGAATACATATGTATTTAACATTTTGTTAATGTGTTTTAAAAAATATAAAGAACTATTGCCCGCTTGCATCCATCAATTTTAAATTTATCAGCATGTTAAATTTGAAAACGACACAACTTTTTTCGGAAAATTTGCAATTTTAAATTTTAACAGTCTGATAAGTTTTAAAATAGATTGATGAAACTGGGGATAAAGATCATAAAATGTAAATTTATTTTTAACTCTTTTATGTTTGTTATTTTCATTCAAAGTTGACGTAAGCCGTTTCCAATAACAAGCCCGCAGACGGGTCAAAAGAGCGAAGCACTTTCTGGGTTTAATGTGTGTGCATTAAACTGGCTGGAACACTTTACTATATTATTCCCACAATATTACATATATTTTTTTAATTATTCTATAGGGTGCAGTTCCTTTAAAAATGTGTCTGAACAAAAAAAAAAAAAAAATTAATTTCTCATTGGTAGGTATATGTATGTCATTTATCTTTTCTTTAAAGACGAAAGATATACCATTTTGCAATCGTTCACTTAAATTGTGTTTTTTCTTAGCAGGTGACACCCTCCTCAAAACTTTTTTTTAATAAAGCCTTTTCCAACCTGTTTCGTTTGATATTCATATTACAATATTTTCTTAGATAAAGTGACTGATTAAATTTATTTAGTACCGTTTTCTCAAGTAGATTTTAAAATTTATCTGCCCTTCAAACATATCTCTTCAGAACAAAATTTGGGTTTAAAGGGCAGATAAATTTTAAAACCCTCTTGAGAAAATGACTTTTAGACTCATAGACTGCTGTAAACTCTTTTTAAAAATATTTTCAAACTAAAGCCCTCTTAACTTGTTCGTTTTACGTATTGATTAAATCAAATTTGACTGTGTAATAGGTGGCAACCCTCTTGAAAAATATTTTCGTAACAAAGCTTCCTTATACCTCTTTCAATTGACATCCTTATTGTAATACGCCATTTAAATGATGAAAAAATTGGATCTGATATTTAAACGAGTTGCAAAACCCTTTTCAAAATATTCTCAATATAAAGCTTCCTTAAACGTCATTCGCTTGCCACGCACATTTTAATACACCATTAAATTTATTAATAAAATTAAGTTCAAATTTTTAAATAGGTGGCAATCCAGTTAAAAATGTTTTCGTGATAAAGCTTTCTTAAATATCCTACCCTTGGCATTCATATTGTAAAATTTCCATAAGCTTATATTTTAAAGAATAATTTAACTATTTTTTATACCCGAGCGCACTTGTGCACAAGGGTATATTAATTTTGTTCACATAACGGTTGTTTGTAACAGCCAAAACGAATCGAGATAGATATAGACAAATGTATACATAAATGATCAGGATGAAAAAAGAAATCGATTAAGCCATGTCTGTCTGTCCGTCCGTCTGTCCGTCTG